GGTATGTTGGCTAGAGCTTCATGAAACCCAATGCGCGGTTTTGACAGAGGGGGCACAACTGTTGGCAGGTTCTGGTGACCGTGGCAAGCCTCAGCGGGAGTTATTCTAAGAATACAACGTATGATCAGATTACCGAGGGACACTTTACATAGCTCTAAAAAATGAACCATCTGACAGTTTATGACAGCTCTGCCTGTTCCAGCCAAATGAGGAGTGTGCTGGTCTCTGCTGACCCTGCAGCCAGGATTGTGAGACAAAGAAAGTGCTTTCCAGAGGTTGTGAACCTACAGGCCTCTATCTGTGTAATACCTGCTTATATCTAACTCTTGATAAGGAAACAAAAAGATGTTTAGAACTTGTTTTCTCTTGCAGTTTTGATTCCTGGTAATTTAACACATTCTTGCTGCAGTTTATTGGGCTTGGCAGTTTGTATAGCTCTGTATTTAATAATTCCTGTGATGCTAATGTCTTTGTAGAGTGATCCGGTTGGGTTTTTTTGTTTGTTTTTTGCTACTAGTATCTCTATTAACGTAATATACCCTGCCACCTTGTTTTTCCCCTGGCTCTGTGGGGACATGCTTCTGAAAGAAGAAAGCTGTATGAGAGGTGGGGGCAAGTGGAAAGTGAGTTCTAAAGCTGGGTATTTTGAGGATCCACATTTGAACACTCCAGAGAATTTCTCTCTAGAGTATTTCTATACCAGTTTCTAATATGTACAATTTGTACAACAATCTCCCCTCCCTCTAGTCTTCTCCAGTGAAGTGCATTGCCTGAGATAGCGTTGGAATTTTTGCTGATGTTGTCAAAGACAAACAGTTAAATGCACACATAGGGAAACACTTCTCACTTTCCCAGGCTGTCTACAGTTTACTGCCTCTCCTTCCAGCTGCCTGGTGTCAGCTTCCCTTGTTTTATTCTCTGTAATACTCATTTCCTCCTAACTCCTTTCAGGTGCTCCATAATGCAGGAGGTTGGGGGTAACCGTGTAAAGGTTTCTTTCTGCTACCCCTTGCTTTTTAGTTTGTTGGGGTTTTTTTTTGTTTGTTTGTTTGGGGGTTTTGTCCTTTTTTTTTGTTTTGGTTTTGTTTTCTCTGGTGCTCCTTGTTTCTTGCTGCTTCTGTGCTCCTATGTGAGCTCTCAATGAGCTGCAGGCCTTTCAGGGTTGTCCCTGCTCTACTGTGTCTTCCATGGGCTGCAGTTGCCTCAAAGTGTACTTCTTCTGCCATGGAGCACCTCTTTTCAAGATCACCTTTCCAGCCATGTTCCCAACAATGTCCCCTACCATGTGTCTCCTTTTCTCCTTCATTTTGTCCAAATGTGTCTTTTTACATGTCTTACGTTTCTTTTCTGTGCATCTGCATGTGTCCTTTTTGTGGTTCCTTTTGTGTGTCTCTGTGTGTGTCTCCTGCCCCTAGTGGCTATTGCCCTTTCCAAAGTATTACTTTGTTTAGTTACTTATTTGAATAGAGGCAGCTTGTGCTTCTCTGAGTGGGTCAAGGGTTTTGATGGGTCGTTGTTTTCATGTATTTTGGACATGGCTGGAACTGACTGTGGCTGGCACAGGGCTCTTCATGGCATCCTGTTACATGGATTATTCCTGCAGCCTTCTGCTGCAGCAGAATAGTGCTCTGTTAGACTACTCAGTCCGTATAATTTCTTGACTTCCATGGAATCAGAACAAAGCAAAACTTGCTCTGTAACATGTATTATCTGTTTGGGAATCCTTTGTAATTCATTTTGCAAGGATGATCCATAGTTGAGACAGTGCTTTGAGAATTTCCATGTGTTCAAATTGTCAGTATATCCCAATATGCACCCTTTAAAAGTTTGCCTGAAACGCGCCACATCCACTTCTCTCAAGGCTAGTTTTTCCTCTTGCTTGCACTAACTCATTCTCTTTGCCCCTCAGAGGGTCCTTGTGGTGTGTATAAATTTTCATTCTTTTTCTTTATAGACAGTGGGGTTTGAGCACCTGGTTTGGTTCTGCACACTTCCCACTTTTGACATGAGTCAAAATGTCCTGAAGTCTTGCACATGCTGGCATCTGTGCGAGAAGAATCACTCCGCTTGTTTCTTACCTTTCAACTTGGATCCTTGTCCAACAGATGAAGGGTTTGGAAAGCCATAAATATTATTCCTGGGACTAGAAAAAGGTGGTGTGTGTACGTGTTGCTAGTAATTGGTGTCGGCTTTGTCAAAATGGTTACACTGGTTGGAAAAGCAGACAGGAAGAAGGTAGCATGACAGCATCTACTCTAATCAAACACTCCTAGGCATGCCACTGTGCTAATGCTGAAACTGTAGCTGAAGAGGTCAGTGGTTACGTGCTGGGCATTGTGTTTCTGGCACAGCGTGTTTCCTAATTTGTGTATAGAGAAGCTGGAGCTGTTTTCTCAGCTTCAGGCCTGATCTCTTCTCCCAGGGGAATGAGGAGAGCTTCTGTAATGACAGTATTAGGAAAAGATTAAGATCTGTAAACGTAAAATGCTTTCCTATCCCTGGGTACGCTTTGGTTTTGTTTCATGAATATGAACTAAATCTGGTCATTGACATTTACATTCTTCTGTTTCAGAAATAGATGGAATTAGTAGCTTTGCCAGCCCTTCCCTAAAGGGTTGGGTGTTCAGTTTCTAGCACAGTCTTTCATTGCATCCAGCTTTTTTTACGGGGTTGGGTTGTACAGGGGTTTTAAACTACAAACAAGTGTCAACCTTTTCATAGAATATTAAACTAGTGGAATAAATTTTGCATCTATTTTCACTGCTTGCATTTTTGTTGTCTGTAATGCCCTAATACACAAGTTCTCAATTCAGCCCATACACATTCCATAGAAAATAATTGGGATATTACAATTTTGTTATAAATAAACTTCATAAGAGCTGTGGCATTGCTTCCCAGTTTATTCTGACTTAATTCCTCAAAAATTTGCAGCCATATAAGATGTCTCACAGCCTTGCACTTCCCACTCCCAACTTTTTATAAAGGTTCAGTATTGCTACTAGTGTGGTCACCACAAATGTTTTATTTTGCTGGGACTGTTCTTTCTATCATGGTTTCTGCCTTGAATCAGCCTAGAGTTCAGATGTGTAGCTGCTGCTTTTCTGGTTTTGCTCTTTATTCTTTCATCTCCAGGAAAAGAACAAAATCTGTGTGTTGTAGATTTGATATATGGGAGCCAGCGTATGCAACCTGTATAGTGTGCTTCATGCCTTGGTGTCCACTCAAACAGTTCTGTGGTGCTAGCTGTCAATCAGATCTAAGCTCGCTTCTCCTATTCACTGCTAAAGTTGTTGTTAGTTCAGCCTTTTCTGCTTCTCTTCCAGATATTTTTATTTTTTTAAAAATCCTGGACCTGGGTCTTCTGCAGTTTTCTGCTTTCAGTCCAAGCATTTAAAATTCTGTACCAGTGACGTTGTAGCTTCAGGTTTTGTTATCCATTTAATTCATGTTGTTCTTAACACCTTTTTCCTTCATCTGTCACTGTGACCATCTTCTCTTTGCATCTCTGCACTGACCTCTCCTCGCACATGGAACATAAAGCTACTTGTCTTCATTTCCCATTATCACGTCACACTGATAAATCCTGTGTAGCTGCTTCCATGTACTTCCTCATGTTTGTTCATTTTCTTGTACTTAAGTTCACAGAATGACAGACTCATTTAGGTTGGAAGGGATCTCTTCAGATTGTCTAGTCTGGCCCTGTTGCTCAAGCAGTGTCAGCTACAGCAGGTTGCCCAGGATTGTATCCAGTCAGGTTTTGAGTATTCTCCAAGGGTGGAAACTCTACAACCTCTCTGGGCAGCCTGTACCAGTATTTGACCACCTTTCCAGAAAAAAAAAAAATAAAAATTGTTTTCTCTCTCTTCTGCTTTGTTTTCAGATGGAATTTCGTGTCTTTCAGTTTGTCCTCATTTGTTTCTTGTCCTATCACTTGGCACTGCTGAGAGGAGGCTTGTTTTCTCTTCTCCGTTGCCTCCCATCAGGTATTTATATGCAGAGATTAAAAACTCCCACTGAGTCTTCTCCAGGCTGAACAGTCTCAGCTCTCTCAGCTTCTACTTGTGTAAAGGTTTCTCCTGTTTCTTAATAGTTTTTTGTGGACCTTTTGCTGGACTTACTCCAGTATTTCCACATCTTTCTTGTGCTGAGGAGCCCATAACTGGACACAGTACTCCAGATGTTGCCTCGGCAGTGCTGAGTAGAGATGAAGGATCACCTCCCTTGACCTGTTGGCAATAACCTGAGATGATGTTAGTCTTCTTTGCCTTCGGGTGCATTGCTGTCTCACTGTCTGCTTGTTCCCAACCAGGAGCTCATCCACTGAGTCAATTTTCAATACACCTGCTTGTCCGCTTAGCTAGCCCATACTTTGTCAGGGTTGCCTATGAGGATATTATGGAAAGCAAAGTCAAAAGCCTTGCTAGAGTCACAGTATGTACAGCTCTGTACTCATCCACCTCACTGCAGAAACTACTAGGTCGGTTGAGTATGATTTCCAGTTTGTAAATCTCTGTGGATACTTCCAATTGCCTTCTTGTTCTTCATGTATCTGGAAATGGTTCCCAGGATTACATGTTCCATCACCTCCCAGGGACTGAGGTGAGGCTGACTGGCCTGTTATTTCTTGGATCTTGCTTTTTCCTCTTCTGCATGTTCTAGGGTGAGTGGCTTTCCTTTTTCTCCTTTGAACTGGCAATTTTGATCCATGTTTACAGATTCTACACGCTATGGAAATATAATTATTCAGTAAAGCACACGGTTCTCCTTTTTGTTGATAATTTTAAGATATACAGATGCAAGCTGGGAAATAGAATTTGCAGTCCAAGGTTCTGCTCCTAAACTCAGACCATGTGAATTAATGAGTACCTTTCGAAGACAGAAAATAGTGTGACAGGAGTATCACCCTCCTCCTGATGTCTATAGACAGCTAATTCCCCAATGCATCTTTCCCAGAGGTCATAGCTTTCTAAACTTACATTTGCATTATTTCTCTGTTCCAGGCCGAAATGAGCTGATTGCCCGCTATATTAAGCTGAGAACAGGGAAAACACGCACAAGGAAACAGGTAAGTTTGAAGCTTTCCCTGTAAACATAAGTTTTGTGGGACCACTAGACGTGATGAGGGCTTATGAGAACAAATACCTTGTTGTTCACTTGTTATTACCTTCTGGCATTGCTGGAAAGAGGTGGTTGTGCTGCACTGGTTAATAAGAATGGTGGGAAGAGTCAGCTCAGGCGTTTTACAGTAGGATTGTAATGCTCCCATCTCCCATCCACACTGAGAGATAATTTTTTTCTGCTATTAAATGGTGTGTGATTTCATTTACTTGGTTTACTAATGAATTTTTCAGTGAACCTCAGAGGTCCTCTATATGAAGAATCTTGCTCAGCCCAAATAGATAGAGAGCTGTGGTGATTTTGAAAATACCCAGGGCGTGGGATGCAAAAAGAATCTTTTTAATTTGGGAATGATAGTCCAGGCTATGCTGGACAAAGCACGGAGCAACCTAGACCTGCTTTGGGCAGGGGGTTGGTAAATGACATCCAGAAGTTCCTTCCAACCTAAACTGTCATGCGTTTTGGCCCACATTAGATATGGGGAAGTTCTGAAAGTCATTATATAATGACAGGGGGGTATAGAAGGGGATATAGAACATGGTTTTCTCTCAAGAAGAGGCTAAGATGGGGAGCAAACAGATCAGAACTGTCAGTCCCTTGATTTAAGGATGGGCTCTTCAGTTTCAGATGACGTCTCTGACTTGATAAAGCCACTGAATTGGAAAATGTCTTAAATGAGACCTTTGCTGGTCCCTCACCTCATTTCATTTCACTTAAGTTATATTTAGAAAAGCATCTCATTGCTATCTCCAACTCCCTCTTCCCCCAGTCCTGAATAGCTCCCTATTGCACAGGGTACCTAAAGTATGTTTACTTCTGCAAGCAGCTACCAAGTACTCCTCTGAAATGAAGATGGATTTTGCCTTTTCAATGCAGGTATCTAGTCACATCCAGGTCCTGGCAAGGCGGAAAGCTAGAGAGATCCAAGCCAAGCTCAAGGTATGATGAGTGTCCTTTAACATACCACCAAGCCCCCTGAGTCAACTGTTCTTCCCTCATACATTCCCTCTTTGAATAGCCTTAAGAAAAGGTGAGATTAACTGCTGAGTTGTAGTAAGGTGCTGTCATCCACGTCTGAAAGACCCTTAGAGTTGGGAGTACACTAAGAGTGTTTACCTGAGAAGAAAGAGTTTGTTGTTACAAATGCTGACCAGTAATCAGTCCCTGGTGTGGCAGCCCTGGGAAAAGGTAGCCTTACAGTCACTACAGTGCTAGTTCCACCTCTACTAGTGGTAGTGATGTGGAGTTGTCTGTGAGAAAGTGTTGCTCATTGGCATAAACATTGAGAGGAAACAATAAAGCCGTTTGGCTTCTTCTCAGGTAAGATGGTGCCAGCTGAATAGACTTTGCCCCTTGATTAACTCAGACCTAATTTGAAGAGACCTGGGCGAATGAGGTAGAAAATTTGGTTGACTACTAGCTTGAGCAAATCTGTGTTTTTCTTTCTATAGGAAGAGCTCTGAGATCACAGTAGTGAACTGATGCCTCTTGACATTTATTTACACTGATTTGAAGCAGGCTGATGGTTTATGTGCTCAGACTGAATTGCAGGAAATATCAAGAAGGTTGAGTTTATGGATGATAACTGCACAACAGGGGGTCCCCTGTTAGAATATGAGCCATTCAGAAAGGGCTTGCTGAGCAGGATTTGAGGCCTGGTCCTTGTTATGTATTACTGAAACAGCCAGAGGAGGAAGGTGCATGCTGACCTTCCTAATTTGCTATGGTAATAAATGATCTAGAAAGAAGTGTGTTTGCATCATGCTTCAGGTGATGGTGAGGATCTTGACAGCCCAGTCCATCCCTAACTGTTGAGTGGATGGCTGTTAGTATGTGCTTCCTCTTTGCTGGCTGGGCAACTCCTTACTGGGCAGTAAGAGAAGTGGGCTGTCTGTGAGTGAACTGTTAGCACTCAGTATTGACCAGTGCTGAAGTTCATGCATCTCTATTGCAACTAGTGATTACCTCTAAGTCATGACTGCACCCTCCACATCCCATCCCCAGCTCCATTTTAGAAAATGGTGTTGTGTCTGTCGTTAGCCTGTTGTGTTTCCAGTTGCCCCGATAAAGAGAAGGAGCCACAAATTACTACTATCTAATTGTGCTTCTAGGTAGGGCTGCCTAAGCCTGAAACCTGTGGTGCTGTTAAGTGGTCAATTCAGGTGGAGGCTCGCTTGAGAGGCGAGTTAGAGCAAGTAGGAAACAACAACTGCCTGGGGTGTTAAAAGATTTACTGCTACTTAAATCTGTAACTTTGATTCCGTTCCTTGCATGTCACAGCTCTGGGATTTGGCATGATTGAAAAGCCAGTCAGCCGAGCCTGTTTCCACTTAGCACAGAGGAGCTGGCTGTTTTTGTTCTCAGGGAATGAAGGTGTCTCAGGGAGCTCTATGGAGCCATTGGTTGTTCTCCTTTTACACCACCCCAGGCCATGCTGTGAGCTCTGCCCAGCTGCCTGCAGTGAACCATTCCCCAGTACCAGACTGTTCCTTTCTGCCTGCAGAGGCAAGTCTATAGCACTGATTCAACTCATTTACTTCTTTGCTTTTGCTAGTCATTTTCATAGAGCAAGTAAATGAAATCACAAAAGCTGCTGCCTTTCTCCCAGGTTCCTGCTGATAGCAGTGTATTCTACTACCACTGTTCATTTTCCATAGCAAGTATATGTTTTCATATTTATATCCTAGAGATCAGAGCAGCTGCATGCTGACTTTTCAGAGCAGTTATCATAATACAACTATTTTCAGACAAATTGGCATATCTCCTCTAACAGATATATGTGCCTCTAACATACAGAGGTGGGAAGGCAGGATAAAGCTTGGAGAAAAGTCTGTTCCCAGAAGTCAGTAGTTTTCTATGTCCTGGATGGATAAGATGTGTACTAAGGAAAAAGAGGGAAATGGTGGTGATACTCTTATTATTATTCTGCATTTTCAGAAAAATAAAATACAGACACTGCAAACATTTGGTAGAAGTTTTTTGTCTACTTTAATACTTGCAGAGGTAAATGCTTCTTCCCCGTAAACTCAGACAAACACGATTTTTCCAGCGAGAAAGTAAGGGGAGAAAAAAAATCTTTTTCTGCAATGGCAACTGCAAGAAAATGGCAGTGTCAAGAAAAAAACCCAAAACCAACAAAACCCAAAAGAGTCCTTACCTTAAAAAATGTTGTAGGTAGTCCTTAAATCATTCTCTGAAACATCATTTAAACTGCATTCTGACAAACTTTCTCACAGCTTTGGAGAATCTTGGGTGCTTTCTCAGCAGTCAAAATGTTTCCCTTCCTTTCACTTAAATGGTACTAACAGGAGTCACAGACTGTTTGGAAAAGATTTGTAAGGTTCCCCTACTGATCATTCCACTTAAACATTGCAATTTGTTCTTGAGCTTTTGTTATGCCTCCTCCAAATGTTTTTGTGCTAGACACATCAGAATCACTGGGCTCTGGACTTTAGAAAACCTTAGAGAAGGTGGAGGGGTTAGAATGAGTGGAGACGCAAGGGTGAGAATTTACTGCAGTTCAATGAATGCAACTGGGAGGTGAGAATCCCTGAAGACAGCCAGAGATTACCTCTTTCAGCAGTTTCTCCAAGCCATGAATTCTTTTGTGGCATCACCATTATAATTATAATTTGACAGATAAATCTGGAGTGCTTGAAGGATGAAGATTATTTGTAGGGGATGTAGGAGGAAAGGGAGAATGTGGGGAAACACTTCTGTTTATATATTTATTCCTTGGAAGAAGAAATTAAGAATGCTATTTGTTTTAAACATACATCATACCACTTAGTTGCTGTGCCATCATTACCTGTAAAAATGTGTGGAGCTCCACAGCCCTGTTAAACTACAAGGTGGAATGTCCTTGCATATGTGCCCTGGGAGTGTATTAAGATTTTTTGTTTCCCCAGGGATGGGAATAAAATGGTCAACTCTGCTGAGTCTAATGTAGTCCCAAACAGCAGGTAGTCTGTCTGCAGTGATGGTGACAAACTTCTTTTGTGAATTTGTTTTTAGAGGATTTTTTTTCCTAAGCAAGAGTCTTTCCCTTTGAATATTCTTACCAATTATTAAAAACAAGAGTCAATTAGGGTTGTACTTTCCTTAACAAGACATTTCTGCTCTGCAGCTGAAAGCCTTCAGACAGAAAGGGTAAATGCTTAGCAGTCTCTAAACCAGTGATCCCAGCATTTCAGAAAGGGTGGTTAATCACGTCAGAAACTATACTAATGGGTGAAAGGCTTGGTTCTCAGGACAGTTATTGGTAAGCCTGCTGCCCAAGTGCTTGTTCCCTGCAAAGAAGCTCATGAGAATCCTGGTTATGCAGCATTAGACCAGGCAATTTGTTTATTATTATAATAATTCTGGGTTTCTTTTGTTTTCTTTCTACTCTTGCCCATAGGATCAGGCAGCTAAAGATAAAGCCATGCAGAGTATGGCTACAATGTCATCTGCCCAGATTATCTCTGCAACTGCCTTCCATAGTAAAATGGCCTTGCCTGGTCTCCCACGACCTGCCTACCCTGCTGTTTCTGGGGTGAGTGAATCAGTTTCTCAGCAGAGTTGGGCTGAAGATACTTGAGTAGTTGAAAGGATGTTGGCATCTGCTCATGAAAATCCTGAGAGTATTAGAAAGAATAGGCCACAAAGCACATAGCAAAAATTTGTCATGTGGCTTCAACATTTTGGGTCTGATTCTTTGCTACCACTGAGTATAGTGTCATTATATACACAAGTGAGAGAACAGTCGGATTTTTTGGGTTTTCAGCTGCCTGAAATATCTTTAGGTATCTGTATCACTTTTCTAGTCCAGGATCTTGTTGGATTAAAACCATTTGAGCCATAATGACCCCTCAAGTTTATCATTCCCAAGCTCCTCTGGAGTGCTTAGATCACAAATTGATGACCCCTACATAAAATCTGTAATAGATGAGGCCTGTCAGCATCCCTTAACCTATGAGCTGGGCCTAATGAGCTTTTGTTGAGCATTGATTTCTGCCAAAATACTCATGTGGAGCTCTCCTGGGGAAAATGGTCCCCCTAAGAGGGTGAGCATCATTAAAGCTTTGAAGACAGAGGCCCAAGGTGCATACATAGTGTTTAACATTAAAACCACTATTAGTTCAGTTGCTTGTATGTCACTAATAGTAGCATGTAGAAAGAAAACTATGACCAATCAGCACCTCCATAAGGAAGAAACAGAGAACATTAAAAGCAGAGATAAAATTCAGTCTCATTTTTAAAACTCCATGAGCTTGCAGTTTCTTTCCTGAGAAAGAAGCAAGCCTTGCTTTTAATTTCTGTCCTGTCTTTGTACAGAGTTAATTTTCTTCTGAGTAGCTGATGCAGTACTGTGTTTCCGCTTTAGTGGGAGACCAGTGCTGATAACACACTGGTTTTAGTTGTTGCTGTGTAATGCTTACTCTGATCAAAGACTCTTCAGTCTCATGCTCTACAAGTGAGGAGGGGCACAAGAAGCCAGGAGGAAGCAGAGACAGGACACCTGACCCAAAGTAGCCAAAGGGGTATTCCATACCACAGCATGTAACGCCCGGTATAGAAACTGGGGGGAGTTAACCAGAAGGGACAGACTGCTACTCAGGGACTGGTTGAGTATCAGTCAGTCAGTGGCTGGTGAGCCATTGTGTGGTGCAGCACTATTGTTTGTTTGGGTTTCCCTTTCCTTTTCTTTCTTTCTTATTTTCTTTTTTCCCTGTTGTGATTTGTTTTTTGTTTGTGTGGGTTTGTTTTTTGTTTGCTTGTTTTCACTCTCTCTTTTCATGATTTCCCTTTTCATTATTACTATTATATTGTACTTTACTACTTTAGTTTAATTAAACTTTTCCTACTTCAACCCAAGATTTTTACCTTTTTTCTGATTCTCCTCCCCATCCCACTGAGGGGGAAGGGGAGCATGTTGAGTGGCTGTGTAGTACTTAGTTGCCAGCTGGGGTTAAAGCACAATATATCCTAAGAGTGGTGACTTTAGCCTGTATGTTTTCTCTTGCAGTTTTGGCAAGGAGCTTTGCCAAGCCAAGCTGGATCTTCCCAAGAGTGAGTATTCCTTCATATGAACATCCCAAGTAGATGCTTCTGCTACTTCCTCTATGCTTCTTGAGGAACACCAATTAGCTGTTACAAGATTTATAAAATGCTAAGACAGATTTCTTGACTGGATCTGAGACTTGAGGCCCATAGGCATAGAATAGTTAGGGTTGGAAAGGACCTTAAGATCATCTAGTTCCAACCCCTCTGCCATGCGCAGGGATGCCTCTGAGAGACATAAGAGAATCTCAAATAGATAAAACCTTGTGTCTTCATATGGTACTTTCAACACAAATTGCACCTCTCTAATATGTCCCATGACTCAAGCAGCCATAAACGTCCCCGTAAGAAATCTTGTTCAATCCCAAAGTGTTCTTCCCTTGCATTCACTAATGTGTCCTGTACCATCTAGGCAATAACCCCTCAGTTTGTAGTGACTGGTTTGTAAGCCTCCCAGGTTGGCTCACTAGTTCTGTTTCACACCTGAACAATTTAGCTAGTGGCCTTCCTTCGGCAGCCCTGGAAGGGGCCTTTGCACAGACTCTGCTTCTCTGACTGCACTACTGACATCAAAGAGATGACCCTGGTGGGTGATGGCCGTGGGTGTAGTTGTGTCAGAGTAGTATTCAGGTCTGCCATTGTTCTTCTGTGCTTTGTATGGAGACACACTTTTTATCACAGAACCTAAGAGGAGCAATTAAAGCCAACTCAAGGACAAGCAGCTGGAAGAGTTTGTGTTCTTCACCCAAGCTATGTGTTCCTGCTGTCTTATGGTGTTATTGCTAGTGCTTGTGGAACAGATCAGGCAACAGATACTATTAAAATATCTTGTGGGGAAAAATGGCTAGTAAAAGAATGTAAACCATCCTAGAGGAAATAAAAAGTAGATTTTATGCTTTTAGCTTGAAAGTGAATGAGGAAGCATAATGTGAGAGGTTCTTTAAGAAGTCTGAAGTATCTCCCATCTCTGATGTCAGATGATGTCTCCAGATCCTGATTTTTCTTACAGTGTTGTTAAAATGGAGCTGAGCTGTCTTGAAAGCTGGGTTCACTTACGGGTGTTGAACATCTCTGAATCTGGGCATGAAAGTCTGAGAGGCGCCCAGCCCTGAGGTATATCCACTTGCAGAAATTTAAATCTATTTGCGGTTGAAAAGAAAGGATAAATCAATTTGCACCAGTGTATTCGCAGGCTGACAGGATCTCTGAATAACAAGGCTGTAGGGAGAGCCCACTGAACACATGCAGGGAAATCTTAGTCCAGTCCTGGTCTCTTACGGTTTTTGAGTCTTTCTCCATGAGCTTTTCTTGCCCACAAGGAAAGATAATTTCCTAAGGATGTTTATGCCACTTTTTCTCTCAGTAGAAATACTTGATATCTATGTAAACAGCCAAGAATTGCTTGTTTTCTCTTTTGTTAACCATCTCTTTTTGTGTACTTCTATAGTGTGAAACCTTTTTCTCAACAACCTTATGCTGTACAGCCTCCATTACCATTACCAGGTAGGTAAGGAAATGTAGTTCCTTGTTTTGAAATTAAATTCCAAGTTCAAGAGCAGCCAACACTTAAAGTTTAGAAATTAATTACAAAATATTTTAACCTATTGAAACATTTCAGTGAGGCCAAAATGAATTTTTGTATTATCTCCCCTTATTTATTACCTGTTCTTGTGCTTTTACTGAGAGAGCTCAAGCTTTTAAATTTTGCTTTATTAAAAAAACATTTTTTGCTGGTTTAGGCTGGTTGTTTTGGGATTTCTTCTGGCTTAGCAGAAAATAAAAGTTTACATATCTCTACAGTTCTTCCACCATTGTGCATGTACTAGAGCACTGTTTTCCATGATTGCCTTTCTAGTTTCTCATTAAATGGAACAAACGTCTTTCCATTCTCAGTTTCCCTGTTTTGAGAGGTTAATGGTTTACGTTAATGGCAATGCTTCATTCTGATACTAAAGCAGTTTATTTCACTGCTTATTTAGGGCTCAGTCTAGGTCCTCTTAAAGTTGCTGAATGTGTTTTCTCTGGTGTCAAAACCGAGTAGGTTGTCTTTTACATTGCCAACTCTGACAGTGCTGTCTTAGCAGAGAGTCACTGAGAAGCCATTTAGAGAACAGGTAGAGTGAAGATCTTGTGAATGATACTTTGTCCATGATGACCTAAGGCATAAGAAAATGTAGTGAGTCAGTTTTGACAACAGGTGCTCTACTGGAAAGATATTGCCAACCTTTCTCTTTCTAAATTTTGTTATATAAATCCTGTGTGCTTAGGGTTTGAGTCTTCTACTGGCCTCTCGCCTTCCCCATCATCACCAGCTTGGCAAGGACGAAGGGTTGCTAGCTCCAAACTTTGGATGTTAGAATTCTCTGCGTTCTTGGAACAACAACAAGACCAAGACACAGTAAGATACACACCTGACTTCCACCCCTCATTAATTTTTGGTCTTCAGGTAGCTCCTGTTCATTGTGGATGTTACACTATTACATATGCTTCATTGCTCTACTGAGAACAGAAAGCAATCTTTGGGAAAAACAAGATACCCTTCTCTGAGAGGATAGAATTGCCTATAGTGATATAGCGAGTTCTGTGCCATGTGCTTCTGGCCTACCTTTCCAGGATCATGGATGTTCACATACCTCAAGGCACTGAGGCTGTGCCACACAGGGTACAGCCCCTGCCTATCTATTCTAGCTGCGCTGTTCAGCCTAGGAGGACAGACTCACAATCAGATGACGGTAAGATCACATGAAGCCACGTATTTCTCTGTTGTGCTGGGAAGTTAAATTTGGGGGCAACTGGGATGAATTTGCATTAGTGTGTTTCCATGATGTCATCTCTAAAACGGTAGTAAGATGCAGGATCACTAAACATTGTGATATTGCATCTTGAGATGTACAGTTACAGTTACATTTCCTCTGTCTGAGATAGGAAAGTTCAGAAAAGATGACAGTATTTGCCCTGTACCTTCCTGTGGGATTTCAGGCAGCTCTTCGTAGTGCAGGAGCATTGAGACTGGGTAACCTGTGACAGATAATGTTCTGTGTCTCAGGTTGTTTCAGACTATATAGCAGCAGCATGAGGCAATGGTTTAGGAGCGAATACAAAAGCAAAAATATTTCAGAAGCAGCAATAAGTGTGAATGTATTGATAGGAAAGAAAAACCAGCATGAGCTGGTAGTAGCAGCAATACTTCTGCTTATATTTCTGCTCTTTTAGAAAATGCTATCAAATCTTCAGTAATTTCCAGGAGTCTTCTGTGAAGAACCATGAATGTTCAGTGTGTACTGAGCAATTTCCTAATTTCATGTTTTTCCTCTTCTTGCAGTATAACAAACACCTGTTTGTGCACATTGGGCAGTCAAGTGCCACCTACAATGACCCCTACCTCGAGGCAGTGGATATTCGGCAGATCTATGACAAGTTCCCTGAGAAAAAAGGGGGCCTGAAGGAGCTCTTTGAAAAGGGGCCAGCTAATGCCTTCTTCCTTGTCAAATTCTGGGTAAGGGAAGGACCCTTTGTAGAGTAACCATTTGCTATGAAGTTCCCACTTGAAAAGTGGTGGCCTCGCTAGCTGTTAAAAGACTGCCACCTCCCAAAATTTTCCCTGTGCAGGGATGTTATTACAGCCACAACTGTAATAAGTTGCCTGCACAGCTGGCCGCAACTGTAAGTGAGGTCTTTCCCTGACTCCACAAGGCACCCATTCTGGCCTGGGTCAAGATTTATCTTTTGCATTGTGTTCACTTCTCTGTGTTGAGTAACTTCTCAGTCAGAGGCAACATTTTTCCCTCTCTTCTTTTATCTCAGTAGCTGTATTTTGTGTTATCCAAGCATTTATATAGGCATATTTACTGAAGGCACAAGGACAGACAAAAGATGAGACATATGATGAAATTGGATTATACTGGTAATATATTACTGAAATGACTTTTGGTAAATTGGCAGAAAACAGCCTGGCAAAAGCCTACTCACTCAATTTAGATTTTTGTGAGTTAACTGAAATTTGCAAAAACTGTGCTATTGTGCTTCAGGGTACAAAGTAGTTCTGGCGATCAATATTATCATAGGTACTGCAAGATCAAAAATAACAGCAGCTTGGGGTTGAATGCTAGATGGCTGGGGGAACGCGTAATGGGATTTGGAGCCTGTCACCCTGAGTTTGCGACTTACAATTCAACTCCAGGTAAGGAGTGAGATGATGAGAAATGAGCTCTCATACTCTTCATGCAAGCTGGCACTAGAAAGTCTCTTCACTGATGCTTTCAGGATAGGGAAGAGTTAACTTAAGTGCCTTGAGATGCAGCTTCCCTGCTGTCCCAAACCTTAGCCTTTCCAGAACTCAGAGAATGTTGGCTGGGAGTCTGCTTTTCAAACGTCTGGTGCTTTGAGGATTAGTTGCTGGTGATTGTGGAGACATGTAATTTTACTAGCCACAGACTGTGCTACTGAGCTGGGCCTTCATGAGTTTAGCCTATGTTAGAGTACAACAAAGCCTTGCTTGGGAAGGTGAAAACAAAAAGACCAGGCCTGTTCCAAGTGGAAGAGAAATACTTGAGAGAGACAGCAAGCATCTTCTTGAGAAGGGTATCCTTTGACAAAATCTGGGTAGTGATTGCTGTAATAATAATTGTTTGGAAAGCAAAACAGAAGGCTGATGTGACAAAAGGAAGGAAAAAGAGTAAGAGGGGATGGCTTCTAAGGATGGTCCTTATAAAAGTAGGAGTTGCAAGAGCTGCTTCCTGCTGTGGGGGAGGGATCCCAGGAAACTCTTCATGTCAGGTAAAGAGCACTGGCTCCTGTGTGGTATCACTGTGAAGTACTTTGGAAGTTTCTGGAACCAAAAAAGAAGGGCTTAGAGGGAGAGGTTAGGTGAAGAGAATAAAGTACTTCTGATTTCTTGACTTAAAGAGAGGGAAATCATAATGAAATTATGATCTAATGCAACTGTGATTTTATTTATAAAACTTGTTAGTGTTCTTTTGTGCTTGTGGGGTTGGGTTTGGGGATTGTGTGTGTTTGTTTTTTAATATCAGAAGGGTAAATGTGGCCTATGCATAATGTTAGAGCAATGTAAGTTAAGCTTTTTAGAAGAGCTATACAAATAGGCTGCTGAATTTACAGCATGATTTTTAGGATAAAAGTATTATCCAAAAAGAAATTAACAGTAAACCTTAAACTCTGTAAGTATAGTTAAATACCTGAACGGGTGTTTCGGGACTTGAAGATAGGATTGAGCTTTCAAAGGTCCTAAATTGAAGTGGTGCTTGCAGGTAACAAAGACTTAAAAAATCAAGTAATTGAATAAACTGGATTTGTTTATATGTAGTTTTAGGTTTGAAGAACCTGAGGCAGGAGCCTGCCATTACTGCACTAAGCACTGAATATACCAGATGATCCCTTGTGCACCAGACACCTAATGCTAAACAACAGGGTTGGGTTTTCTTGACATCATTGATAGCACTTAGGATCTAGTGTGACTGAGAAAGAGATGTTTTTGTTTGTTCAATGATGCTTTAAATGATCTATACAATAGCTAAGAGTTAAAAGTTGATCAGTTTGAACCATAAGCAGTGTTTGCAATTCTCCCTTGATTTTGGCACTGGGAGTTTAGTACAATGAACTAACTCTTGAACTTGGATTGGCAGGTTGCTTATGACATCTGTGTGACATTTCTATGTGCTCCAAGTGCATTCTAGCACACAACAATGAATATGAGATGTTAGCCTCCCAACACATGGGCGGTATCAGCTCTGCTCTTTTCCAGCGTAATATTATCTCTACCACCTGTTACTTGGTTCTCCCCATGAACTCCTCCTATATGCATCGTTATTAATAGTGTAGGGAAGTGGTGTTTTCAGGGCTTTGCACATTAGTAGAATGTTGCACTTGCATCTTAAAGCTTTCAGAAGTCGTGAGACTCTAGGTAGAAGACAGAGGGAAAATGACAAACCAGGAATTCAGGGCAGGTAGTACTTCATCTGCAGAGGGGTGGATCAGGGGAATTTGCAGGACCTTTCCTGCAACTGATGAATGTATGTACTGATTTCTTCTCCTTGGCGATAGGCAATCTGAACCACTTAAATCACCATTTTCTTTCCAGTAAATAAATTATACTTTTGTGGAAGGGGCTGAAGGGGTGGGGATGGGGACTGCTGCCCTATGCTTGGGTTCTTCTGTCTCAAGCAAATCCAGTCAAAACAGCAGCAGTGCAAATTCCCTTTGGCATCCTGCCTTCAATCCTGACCTGGCAGAAACTGCTTGGAGAGCAAGGAGATTTAATTTGGTCTCCATGTCCATTCCTTCTGAGGCAGCTAGCAACAGAGATTTTATACTTCTGCACATTTTTACTGAGAATGGATCTGACAGCCCATTAATTTCACCTGCAGCCACCAGCACAACCTCCCACCAGTTGCTACCTTATGGAAGCAAACTCTTGTCAATGGCTTTTCTTTCACCAAATTTATTGCCCACAGTGTTAAACAGTATAGAGATTGCGGTCAGCAAAAAGCAGACTGAAAGACTGAACTGCTGTGGGAATTTGTCTGCTGAGTGTCAAAACAGCACAATCCTGGGAGGGGGAGCTAGCTAAGTTGCAGCTACCCATAGTGTTGGCAAGGCTTTCTGCTATCTTTGGCTAGCTTAGAAACTTTCCCTTTCCCCCTTTCTTGAAGGCTGAAGCTGAAGAGCCACAAGTTTTTGACTGTTTTGAAATAATTGTTCAGCATATGCTTTTCAGTTAACCATGTAGGACCCGTGTGCAAGATACCAGCAAGCTGTGGTTTCTTATGGCACTTAATGCCATTTGGACTCTTGACCAATCACTGCTTTTCAAAGCCTCAGATAAGCTGAAGACTGATTCTTGAAGGTCACATGTCCCTCTGTGAAGAGTTTCAGAGAAATTTTGATTCACAGACTCATCAGAATAAAAACTCATTCCCACCAAAGTTCAAACAAAACTGGCTTAATATATGGTTAGGACAGTGCACAATGACAACTTTTGTGTGTTTCTTTGTTGGGGTTGAGAAGTGGAGTGATAACACTTGAGCTCAGCAGAGCTGGTTTCAGCAAAGCTGTTAAAAGAGATTCACATAACCAATATGATTTAAAAAACACCCCAAAGAGTAGTACTAGCTTCCTGAGGGTTACTTACCCTTCCCTGAACAAATCCCTTCTCTTCTGTCTAGAAATCTTGTCTTGTATTTAAAAATTCTGCTTACTTCCTTGGAAAGCAGGAATTCTCAGCTGTTTCACCCAAAACAAGCAGACCAGCTCTCTTGCATGCAATATGTAGCTCTCCCAGACATGCTAGATCACAGATACCCGAGTGATTGTAGTTTCAGCATGTCTGGAAGCCGTCAGGCAAGGTATAGACAAGTATGTAATCTGTGCTGAGCTTGCACAATAAGTTAAATGCATCCCAGGCATATCAGATTGCTCTTATGCTAGAGTGTGCTCAGGTTTTCACATCTAGAACTTCTTGAGCAGAAAGCAAGACCCCGATTGTCAGATAAAATAGTATGGTCCAGTTGGTGGCTCATAACTCAGATTTATCTTGTAATATGCCTCATCTGTTTGATCTTATACCTTTCCCTCGGAGAGACGGAGAGCAGCTGTTTTTGAATGCTGGATACCACCCAACCAGCTGAATGCTGCTGCTGCTGCCCCTGCTGCAGTCCCGTCCTGTTGCTAGGAGTGACTAGTAGGAGCCTGGGGGGCGAAGTGACTCAGTTACATTGACTATGGACTTTCCTAAATCCTGACTATGTCTCCTTTGGCAGTCTAGGCTGGGGTAAGGAACATATTAAAGAGTTATCTCACTTGTTATTGAACATACCAATGTATTTGCCAGTGGTGAGCTGAGGCGCCTAAGTTCTAGTCTCCAAATCAGAATGACATTCAGTTATGTATTCAACAGGTTCATGCATTCCCAGACTATAAAATTAAGATTAGTCTTCCTGCTTGAAGTGCTGGGAAGATGAATTTCCTTTAAGTCATAGTCACTATTATTCTCTCACATCTTTGAGGGATTCAGTGTAGTGGACAAAGTAAAGCAGACCTCTCTCTGCTCGCCTCAGGTGCTCACCCCAGGATTGCATGTGCTTTGACACAAGATTTTCTTTAAAGTAGGAAACTGTGAAAGTAAAGAAAGGAAGAGTCCTTTCCCCAAAGCAGCAATGTGGTTTCTAGTCTTGATGGCCTAGGTATTGCGAGGAGTGCCTAAGAATCCAGACAACGAAGCAGCAGCATTTTTAGATACTAGGTTAAAAGCAGTAACTCTTTTAACCATTACAGACCCCGTGATGTGCAGTATGATTTTGTCCCCCTGCAATTCTGGGAAGTTTAACTGCTTCCATTAGCAATTTACCTCAGTGTCCAGTCGACATTTACAAGGTAATTTGGCTATGGAGATAACAGTGTTCCTCCTAAATTTTCTCCTTTGTCTCCCTTCAAGGTAATAATCTTCATAGCAGGGAAATCTAATGGATTAGAGTTCTACTCCTAACTGGTGCTTTGGTTTTTAGGGAACTGTAATCTTAACTTTAGTAGTGACACCCTGAACATGCTTGACTGGTTCTGCAGTGAGAGCTTCTGCTGTGTGTATGCAGCAGTGGTCTGACCAAGCTTCTGTAGCCTTGATCTTTTGTTCTTTTTACTCAGTGACACAAGTTCTTTGTAAAAGTGGAATTGGGTCCATACTTTGTGTTTATCATCCCAAGGGAAATAGCTGAACAATATTATGAAGGACTCCTAGTTATTTCCTCTTTGGAGATGGGAAAGAATTAATCTTTATTCAGACAGTTGGAGTATGGGTCAAATAACAGTACATTTTATTGCGTTGACATGTAAATGAAAATTACAGTAACTCAGTAAAAACCTAAACCAGACTAGAGTAGCATTGCTACTCTCTATTACTTGTACATTTGTGGTACAAAATAGCTGCATTAACTACAGTGGGACTGCAAAGGACTTCAGCATGAAGTGAATGCTCCATCCCTGGTAGTGTTCAATGCCAGGCTGGACAGGGCCTTGGGCAACAAGGTCTAGTGTGAGGTGTGCCTGCCCATGGCAGGGGATTGGAACTGGATTATCTTAAGGTCCTTTCCAACCCAAACTATTCTGTAATTCTAGGACCAAAATAATTCACTTGGCAACCTGAATTACTATTAAGTCTGTAATGCCTGTGCCTTGTTGCTATTATTACCTCTGCTACCAAGTTAAAGCTAGCCTCGATTTGACCACATACGCTACTCCAGTGTAGACAAACTGCATTAGAGTCATTTAGGTGGTCATGAAAATGTAAAAGCTTCCAGTCCTCCTCCTGCTGTTGTTTCGAAGTCTTGTGCAAAAGTTATCACTACCTCAGTGGTGTAAATGTGAATGATGTAAAAGGATTTTTAAGGAAGCTTTAAATCCAAATAGTTTTACTGATATATTTTAACACCCAAATACACCCGAATCTGGTTTTAGCTCAGTGAGGAGACAGAAAACTATGAGGGCAAAAAGGGAGAAATTGTTAAGAGAAGTCAGGAACCAATTCAGCTAGATAAATTGTTTTGTGAAGCTACCCTCTGAAGAGAAGCAAACATGAGACTAAACTGCTTTATCTCCTGATAAATCAGAGGATGCTCTTGAATATATAATATGCAGGAGATGGCAAATTTAGGAAAACATAAAGGGACAAGTACACAGCTGGTGTAAACTGGTATGAATGTATTACACATGTAGAGCCAAGCACATATACAAGGGTTGAAGATCTGCCACTACTTCAGAGGGAAGGATTCTATTTAAAAAGGGGAGTCATACAGAAGAAAACAAGCCAGTCTGACAAATAGACTTTCTTTCATCTATAATCTCTGATGAAGATGATCCAACTTTTAAGGATTTTTTGTAGAAATTATACAAAACAACACAGTCATTTTGAAGAGTGATTCATGATGATGTATTTAAATACTGTGCTGTTATGATCTCCTTTGAGAGCAGTGTGAGCAGAGTGAAAGCCGTATGTCCATCTCGAATGCTGCTAGTGTTGATGCCTTCTGTCATCTTGCCCAGATTGAATCTTTGTCCTACTAAGATTATCTGAATGCCATAACTGCTAGTCTAGGGGATACCCCAGGAGATACATTGGCCATTGTACTTTATGAAAAACCTATCCCAAATCTGCCTTTCACTTCCTTCTGAGTTTGTACTTAAAAAAAATACAGTAATTGGATTTTATTGGTATTTACCTGTGGCATCACTTATGTAATGCAGATGGTAGTTTTTCTGTATATGGATATATGTGTGCACAATAGCACAATGTCAGAATGTCCCAGTGTTGTGCCAAGTGGAAAAGGAACTGATTTTTCTGAAATAAATGGGGACATGGTTTGTTTCCTTTACTACCTCCTTCACACACCTGAATTTGCAAGTTAACAGCCATGGGAACTGGATTGAATGGAAATACTATTACATGGCTGCTTCTCCTGCTAGCGCTTTTGGCATCACTGTTGTCTGATGTGAGCTGGTGAGTGTTGTGTTACGGAGACGGCCCAACCTAGCTGTCTAGGGGCAAAACTTTTAATTTGAAAGGAATTACAGCAAAGCATGGCTTCTAGTAGTTAACTGCTGTAGTTACTCAAACCCAGCATTGTCTAGAAGTAGTCCTGCCTTCTGCTTGCCCTGTTGTAACTTATCCTTCCAACACATGTTCTTTGTCTGAACACACCCAAGTGGTTCTGAATCAGGTCAGGGAACTGATGCTGAGGACTAGCTGAGCAATTCTTCGGGGAGTCGTCTTACACAGCTAGGGAAACATTTGTGTCAGTACAGGAGAGGAATGGGGAGGCACAAACTGCTCTGGGACAGTAAGACTGCTGCTCCCTCTTGATGTCAGGACCAGCTTGGTGTTACCAAACTATAAAACTATAACTTTGAGGTGCAAGCTAACCTGAGTACGTATTGCTATCAAAATAGGTAGTCTTTGCACCCTCAACTTTTGTGTGTGTTCTCACCTCTTCCAACACCTGCAGCTTAGTGGAGATTCAAGTGAGCTTTCCTTTTCTGACTGAAAAAATAACTCAAAAAACATGCCTCCCCCCCCGTTCTTCTGGTATCAGCTCTCTCATCTAGCTAACCAGAGAAGTCAGTTGTACAATTGCTAACAGTGGCACAAAGCAGCAGTAAGCATGTGTGGCTGCAGATGGGGAGAAGGCTGGACTGGCAACTTTCTAGATTGACTTAAGCATCTTGAGAAGTTGCTGCTTAGGAGAAATTGGCTAGCAGTGTTACCTTGTGGCAAAGAGGCAAGTTATTTTGTGTGGCAAAGGAAAGAGAGATTCATTATTGCGGTGGTCCAGTTCTAAGTATGGCATTTCTTGTCCTAAGTGTTGCTCTAGATCTTGAATAAAAACCCTTCACTGACACTGGCTAAGAAAACCATGCAACAGTAGCACCTAATATGGTCCTATTCACACTGTATCCACAGTAACAGGAATACACTTTCTTCAGTTTCCCGTTTCCCTCAGTTAAGCAGGAAGAATAAAACAGTCTGAAGTAGCCTGCGGGAACTGACCATTTTCCGCTTTTCTGCGGATGCAAGGTAGCGCTTGGGCTTGCGGAGAGCAGTGAAGCTCTAACGTCTTAGTTTTGAAAGCAAGGAAGCCGAGCTGGGCATTCCTCCACACCCGTTAAGAGCTTACGGGAACGCCTCCTCAAATAAGTGTGTTTTGAGTGACCCCTGCTGGAAACTTCAGACAACCAGGATTTTTAGCAGTACGGTCCCATCATGAGGCTTCAATTGGCCAGCCCTAGGCACCCGCATGTGAAAACTGGGCCTGCTAATGGAAATGGGTTTGTATTCAGGTGGAACTGGGCTGGGTCCATCAGCAACCGACATTCCTTATATTACATCCTGTCTTCTTATATTCTCCATATCATAGCTTCTGAGTCTAAGCGGTGTGTGTGCTCACACATTTCTCTTTTCTGTTCTGGCTCTTTCCCCTTACCTACATATCCAGGGTGGAGAAGCTTTACTTGAGTTACTGTACCTTTATTTTTCCTCCTTAGTGAAGCAACCCAGTCTAGCCCTCGGTTGCATTGCTCTATCTCTACAGTGCCTTCCTGTCTGCTCTCCACATGCTTTGTGAGTACCTCCATATACTGGTAAATATACTGGTAATTATCTTGATATACTGGTAACCAGTTATGGTTAATACCACCTAAGGCAAAGGACTGTCTTATGCTTTAATTGTTAAGAGGATATTCCACCAGGCTCCTCACAAGGTATATGCAAACCCCACCAACATTTTTCTGAAGTGGGAACTGGATTATAGTGCATACTCTTCAGATTCCCCTGCTTGCTTGATGCATGTTGGTCTGCTTAAGGAGCTTTGGACACTCCCAAAACTTCAAAATCCTGGCTATGCAAGGTAATGGTGAAAAAACCCACAACCATCTACTGATAACTGTCTATTTTTCTTGGTTGTTGTTGGATTTTTTGTTTCTTTGTTTTATTTTGTGTGTTTTTTGTTTTGGTTTGGTTTTTTATTTTGGTTTGGTTTTTTGTTTTGGTTTGTTTTTGTTTTGTTTTGGCAGGCTGATTTGAACACCAATATTGAAGATGAATCCAGATCTTTCTATGGCGTTTCCAGCCAGTATGAGAGCCGAGAAAACATGGTCATTACCTGTTCCACCAAAGTGTGTTCCTTTGGAAAGCAGGTGGTGGAGAAAGTGGAGGTAGGGAGCAAACACCTGGGTGCAAGGTTCTCTGGCTGTTGTTTTGTCGCTTCAAGTATTTGCGTCCTATGTATATCTCAAGGCAAAATATGTCCAATTCTTGTTGTCAGGAAGATCCATGCCATAGGTTATTATTTCTGAGACATGCAGGTGTAAGATTGCTCCAGCCTGCAGCATGGCTTTGTCTCAGGACATTGGTAGTGTTTGATGGTTTTTCCCTTAAATCTCAGTTTCTGAAAATATGTGAATATGTAAGCCTGAGCTATGGTGATTGTCTAGGGTTGTTTTGGAAGCAAAGAAAAGCTATAGGAAACCCTGACACTTGTTCTGTAATCCAGAAACGTGAAAACAAATCAGCAAGATCTCACTCTCATCAGTGTTTTTAAACAGGTCATTTATACACTATCATAATTAATTAATTGACTAATTATTTACAGACTATAGTCTTAAGGTTTTATGAAGCTTATCCTAGTCCTTGCACACTTGCAGCACTGTGTATCAGTGGAGCTGCATAATTATGCCTATATCTGGCACTGAGAGAAATTCTTTCTGATGTCATATTCAGCTGCTAAGAGAGCTGCTCTGACCTGCTTCCTGCTGCTCTCTTTCTCGAGGAGCCTTTAGATGCAGGAGGAGCAGCTATGTGCAGAACACCAGGTATTCTTATGTCAGCAGTCAGTGTAATTAATGCTACTTAATGTGACATCATTAGCCCCATGTGCACCTTTCATGTTTTGCATTGCAGACAGAGTATGCACGCTATGAAAATGGATACTATTCCTATCGCATTCACCGTTCCCCTCTCTGCGAATACATGATAAACTTCATTCATAAACTCAAGCACCTTCCCGAGAAGTATATGATGAACAGTGTGCTGGAGAACTTTACTATCTTACAGGTGGGACTTTCAACTGTTTTCGTTGGAGCTTGGAAACCTGTAAGCCCCATGCAGGAGTTCACTGTTGTGAGTCAAAGCAGATTTCCTTTTACAGCTCAGCATCTAATTGAATTTAGTATCGCTCATGTGTACTGCACTTCAAGACCTTTTATGGAGCTCTAGAGATAGTAACTCATGCAGAGAAGCAGCAGAAGAATTTGTGAGGCCCAAGTTAAGATGGAGATAAAAAGAAAGATAAAGGGAGAACTCATGAGGCAGAGAGATAAAGGAAAGAAAAAGATACAGAAGTCAGTGAAGGAAATGCTCATTCCATTATTGGACAAATGTTGGTCCTTTCTGTGCCCCGGTCCTTTTTGCAGGTAAAAAATAAGAAGAACACTTTTTTAAGTGCTCTTGTCTTCCCATGGCTATATAATTTTGCCATGGGAAGAGTTCTTAACTGGCCAGGTTGGAGTGGGGTGTGAGAAGGGGAAGTTGCTCCCTCAGGAACATCCTGATCCAGGAAAAAAACATGGAAACATGTAAAGGGCTATGTTGCAGGAAGCTCTGCAACCCGTCCATGAAGCCTCTGAAGCCTTTACTGCAGCCTCCAGATAGGGCAGTACTACAAGGCTATAGCAACTAGAGTTGCATTAGTGTCTGTGTTATAGCGGGAGCCTTTCCAGGCTCAGATGTTGCCCAAATTTGGGAAGAGGGCAAAGAGAGCTTAAAAGGTGGATTTTCCTTGGGCTGAGTTCTGTGCTTGCCTCTACAACATGCATCACAGATCTTCACTCAGAGGAGCTGTGGTTGGGTAAGTAGAAGATATGCTAGTGGCTGTATGAAAGAATGGAAATCAAGTGGTCTTCATTCCATTCTCTGGAAATCCTGTGGGACTTCAGGACACATTTCACTGCTCTGTCATTCAGCTACCACAGCTGTAAAGCACAAGGTTAATAATATCCCTCAGTCACTCCACACTTGCTGTAAATTCTATGAACAAAGTTGTTATATATTTATACTTCCTCTGGAGCTTTACATTTTGAGTAATCTCATGTCCTTCCGCTATCCCATGTCACAGAGAGGCATGTCTCATGCATGCTGGCACAGCCTTTAATATGGCCTTGCAGTCCTACTCCCTGAGCAGCAGGCTGAGCATCTTCTACCTCTAGTCTGTACTGAGTAGCTGAAAAATGGTCATGCTTAGGTAAGGCACACTGGTAGTCCTCAGCCCCCACTACCAACTTCTGAGACAAGTCTAGTTATATTTTTTTCTAGACCCTTTCATGATCTTAGATATTCCATATCTCACAAGCATGATCTTGCTTTGCACATTGCTCTGGATCTAGGTGTCCAAGATTTCAGAGCCCATTTTTCTTAAAAGGCTCTGGTGCTTTAACTTACCTGGATGTGTATAACTCACAATGGCCTGCAGAAGAAAGGAGAAGAGTTAGTTCAGCTGCAAAGTATGCTCATGAAGTAAGAAAAGAAAAAAGAATAGACCAAAACCAGGCTGCTAAAATTAATAAGCAAGTTTGATAATAACTATTTTTTTATTCCTGTTTTCACAAGAACGGTTGGACTTTGGTATAGTTCAAGCCTGCACCTGGTGTGTTTTTCTTCTGCAGTTGAGTTGGTGCTACTGTTGATAAAAATGTATCACCTCCAGCAGGAGAGGACTGCTTGAAGCTTTGTCTGTGACACAAACTCAGATGACAAGAATGTGCAAAGTTGTGCAATGGCAGGGCAAAGCTGAGCTTGGAGCTCTGGGTGCATTATTTCACTTGTCCCTGCTGTGTAGTATAGGCAGTGCATGCTTTTGAAACTTAGACAATACTGTTCCATCATCATGCCCCTGACACTGAGTCCCATTTCAGAGAAGCTAAGGCTCCTGAGGGACCATAGAAAAAGAAATGGAAAAAAAGGAGCTTCTGAAAGAATGCACAAACGTAGCAGCCAGCCATCCTTCTACTGACATCTACAGTGTATGGAATGGGAGGCATAATGGAGTCAAACCTATACATCTCCTGTACAATGAGTTATATTCTATAATGCTCATGATCTGTCCTTGTCTCACTGACAAGCAGGAGCAGATGGAGGCAAAGAACTGTTCATGGCTGTGATATATCAAAATATACGTGAGCAGAAATGTTTGTACCACAGGAGGTCGCTTCTCTATACCCAACAAACAAAGCAAAAAGATTTTCTGTGAAACACCTTCTGTCTGCTGAAATCTGCAACACTGGGGGTGTGGAGTAGGGAACCTAGTGGATCCACTTCCATTTATGTGGTCACTGCTTGGTCACAGCATTCTTTTCTCCACAGTGGACTCTGCTTATCTCCCTGTCTCTTCACTGCATTGTAGTCCTGATGCTGCAAAAGTGCTTTGCTTGAGTGTGTGGGCACACAGACTGGGTGTTGTGGTGGCTGAGCTGTGTATCATTCTTGTTCTTTGCCTATTACTGACCTTTTGCTCTACGTGAAATACGTTGGAATATGTAAGCAAAGAAACAGCAGTTGCCATTTCAGTTTCTTCTCCTTTTCTGTCTAGGTTGTCACAAACAGGGACACACAGGAGACCTTGCTGTGCATAGCATATGTTTTTGAGGTGTCAACTAGTGACCATGGTGCCCAGCATCACATCTACCGGCTGGTGAAGGACTAGAGACTCAGCCCTGAGTCATCCATGGGATGCATGTCTAAGAAAATAGCCTGTGCTTGAACAACCCCTGGCCCCTCATACCAAACTGAAAAATAAACTGCATATATTGTGTATTTTCAGAAAAGCACCTCTGAGCTGTTGTGTGATTGACAGGGTCAAGTAAATTTGTATCTGCAGGTTTGTGCAAATGGGAAAAAGACTTGGAATCAAACAGGCAAATAACGCTTAAGGATGTCACCACAAACAGTGTTCTCTGCAATGTATTTCCCACAGAGCACACATGAAAGAAGTGGCATGCACCTCAGTATACAGGTAGGACAATGGTAGCAGCTTCCACAATTTGATGACATATGAACAGGTTCAGGTTGAAAATGTTCATGCTACATCTGGTCTGAGAGTCTGCACATATATATATATCTATATATCTATATATAATATACACACACACACATATTCATTTGTAGGTCAATACAATGTCAAGAACAGACATGCTTGTCATACATGTATATTGATGTGTGTGGGCACATGCATGTGTATAGAGATTGCACATATAACACATATCTGCCTGTCTAGCAGTCCACCTTAGCAGGCATGCAGTCACAAGCTCCTTTAACCTTCCTCCTTTTAGGGGCTGGATACTATTTCCCTCTCTTCCATGCATGACAGTGAGAGACCGACTTTTCTTTTGCCTTCTAAATGAAGTTACGCTTAGAAAATTGGGTGTGTTAAATCATGTCGTCTTGCTCAGCAAATTTCCTCCATGTATCAGCTCTGCTAACTTGACTAAAATAATTCCTGCTGCTTTTGCTTGTTCTCCCTGTACAATTAGAGTGCTCAGGGAGCTAGACTCTGCTCTTTTCTTGTGCACCAGCAAGATAATTGTTTACTGAGATCACGTTCTTCCACCTGTTAGTTTCAGCCAGTGAGCATGCAAGTATTGCAAAATGTGCCATTTGGCCATCAAATTGCAGGAAAAGGATGAGAAAGAATAATGAAAAAAGGTTAGTGTGCCATGTTTCCAAGGCAATCAAACAGAGCCTCTCTGCTTTACTTGTAAGCTGAGGTTGTTTACTCAAGAGTCACTGAGAGGCAGTCTTGTTCCCCACAATGCTGCTGATGTTGGGGAAGATCTAGTCCTGTATGTTACTCTGAGGGAGAGGTGGGTTGCATGGTGGCAGGCACTGAACAGGCAATTTATTGGGTGGACAAACACAGTCTCATGGCACAGATTTGGCAAATGGTGTTACATCTCTTTCCATAATGCACCACACCACCTTAGGAAACATCTCTCACTTCAGATGTTTCCATCCTTGCATTTTTGGCATAGAATACTCATGGGTACCTGAGGAATCTGAGATATCATCAGAAATCAAGAGTTGGAATGCCAGAAGGTAAGGGCTTCAGCCACACACAAATACAATCTGACTGCTTTCAAGAACTCATCAGCCTGTTGGTACTCCCTTCTACAGCTTCTAGTCTCCTGGTTAAAGGGCTCTGGCGGATCCCATAAAAACAGTGTAGAACTCGTAGAGGCCTGCAGGTTTACCTATGTCCTCCAGCTTCCTAACCATCTCCCTATCCTGTAAAATGTTTCATTTCTGTATTTTAAATTGTAAGTTTTACTCATTTACATGGTACTCCAGGATTCTTCTCGCAAGTTGATGATTTTGTTTCATGCACATTCAAATCTCACCTCCCTTCAAAGTTTAAATCTTCCACTCCTAGAGGATTTTTCATGGACTCAGGTTAATCCTTTGAGTACTTGAAGGTCTTAAGGGCCTTTTCGCAAGTATTCTTGAATATTCTCCATTCTCTTATTAATGAAAAATGCTCAGATAGTCACCTTCCAATGTGCCATCATAGAATAGTTAGGGTTGGAAAGGACCTTAAGATTCCAACACCCCTGCCATGGGCAGGGACACCTCACACTAAACCGTGTCACCCAAGGCTCTGTCCAACCTGGCCTTGAACACTGCCAGGGATGGAGCATTCACAACTTCCCTGGGCAACCCATTCCAGTGCCTCACCACCCTCACAGTAAAAACTTCTTCCTTATATCTAACCTGAACTTCCTCTGTTTAAGTTTTAACCCATTACCCCTTGTCCTATCACTACAGTCCCTAATGAAGAGTCCCTCTCCAGCATCCCTATAGTCCTCCTTCAGGTACTGGAAGGCTGCTATGAGGTCTCCATGCAGCCTTCTCTTCTCCAGGCTGAACAACCCCAACTTTCTCAGCCAGTCTTCATACGGGAGGTGCTCCAGTCCCCTGATCATCCTCGTGGCCCTTCTCTGGACTTGCTGCAACGGTTCCATGTCCTTTTTATGTTGAAGACACCAGAACTGCACACAATACTCCAGGTGAGGTCTCATGAGAACAGAGTAGAGGGGCAATATCACCTCCTTTGACCTGCTGGTCACACTCCTTTTGATGCAGCCCGGGATACGGTTGGCTTTCTGGGCTGCAAGCTCACACTGCCGGCTCATGTTCATTTTCTCATCAACCACCACCGCCAAGTCCTTCTCCGCAGGGCTGCTCTGAATCATTTCTCTGCCCAAGCTGTGCCTGAGCCTAGGTGTAGGGCGTTGCACTTGGCTTGGTTGAACTTCATAAGGTTGGCATTGGCCCACCTCTCAAGTGTGTCAAGGTCCCTCTGGATGGCATCCATTCCCTTCAGCATATCAAATGAACATACAGTTTAGTTGTTGATGGAAGAGGTGATGTCAGGCCATACAAAGGATGTTTATTTAGCCTAGCATGTGAGGAATCCTAAAAATTTCCATTTCTAAAGAGATTTCAAACAGAAGACCGGAATGCAGTCTACTTGCAAAGCCCCACTGAATAAGCTTTGCGTACATGTACAGTTTTAAAATAGAATTATTCCAGTTGGAAGTGACCTACAGTGATCATCTAGTCCAACTGCCCGATCACTTCAGGGCTGATCAAAATTTAAGCATATTTTAAGGGCATTGTCCAAACATCTCTCAGACACTGACAGTCATGGGGCATCAGCTTGTTCCAGTGTTTGACCACCCTCTCAGTAAAGAAATGTTTCCTAATGTCAAGCCTGAACCTTCTCTGACATTGCTTTGAACCACTGCAGTGTGTCTTGTCACTGGATCCCAGGGAGATGAGACCAGCACCTCCCTCTCCCCCTCCTCAGGAAGCTCTAGAGAGCAACTGAGGTCACTCCTCAGCCTCCTTTTCTCCAAACTAGTCAAATCCAAAGTCCTCAGCTGCTCCTCACAGGACATGCCTTCCAGACCCTTCACCAGCCTTATTGCCTTCCTCTGGACTCATTCAAAGACCTTAACATCTTAATTTGTGGGCCTCAGAACTGCATACAACAGTCTTCACTGAGGCTGTACCAACGTTAAATGTAGCAGAATGATCACCTCTTTTGACTGGCTGGTTATGCTGTGTTTGATGCACTCCAGAATGTAATTTTGCCCTCTTGGCTGCCAGGGCACATTGCTGCTTCATATTGGTTGAGCCATAGGTCCCTCTCTAAGAGCTGCTTTCTAGCCATATCTCTTCCAGGCTGTACTTCATCCCAGGTGCAGAATCCAGCATTTGTTCTTGTTAAATGTCTTGTTAAATTGATGATTGCCCAATACTCCAGTCCATTCAGATCCCTCCTCTTGTTCTCTTGTTCCTCAAGAGAGTCAACAGCAGCTCCCAGTTTGATTTCATCAGCAAACTTGATGCATTCAACTGCGCCCTGATCATTGACAAAAATATTGAACAGAACTGGCCCTGGAATTGAACCCTGAGGAGCACTACTGATGACCAGTCGCTAGGCAGATGTAGCCCCATTTCCTACCACCCTCTGAGCTATGCCAGTCACCCATCACACTGTGAACCTGCTCATCCTACAGTATCAAAAGCCTTGGTAAAATCTAGAAAAACTGCATCCACTGCCTTCCCTTTGCCCTCTAGGATGACTTTATCATAGGATATCAAATTAGTCAGGACTCTCTGTGAACCCACGTTGACTGTGCCTGCTGATTGCCTCTTTAAATGCACCTGGTATGATCTTCTCCATAATTATTCCAGGTACTGAGGTTAGACTAACAGGTCTGTAGTTTCCTGAGTTTTCAATTGTAGATGAATAATGCTGGTGAGTTTCCAGTCAGCATGGACCTCCAATGTTTGTGCCAGGGTAAACACAATCTGCACCAGGACTCGCCTTAAAACACATAGCCCTGCACTACTGGAATCAGCGTGGGCTTGGACAAATCAATTTGATGTGGAACAGGGAATAATTTACTCATTTCCTTATTAAGCTATTGCATGCCAGTTGATCTATTTTAACTGTCCAATTTAGATTTCTATTTGCAAGTCCTTCACAGGGATGAGTCTTCCCCAGACATTACTGTGGAGCAGCTGACATGATACTGCTTCTGCAGTGCACACTGCGCTTGTCTGCTCATGGCCTGCAGGTCATAACCTGTTCTTTGCAGCATGGGAAGGAAAGGATGTGGATAAAGAGGATAGCAAAGATGAGGCCATCAAGTCAAGAGCTAGCCAAAGATGGTTTGGATCTTGTTATTGGAAAAGGGCTCATTTTTTATATATAACAAAGTATTCCACCCCCCCTTCCCCCAAATCTGCTTTTAAGGACTGTGCAGGGCTAGTGCTGTTCACCTCTGTGCAGGAGCCAAAAGTAGCTAGTAAGGTACAGAAGGACCTTTTACACCTACTAAGCAAAATCTACACCTTCCTGTGCATAAAGTTCCTGTGGCTACTCTCTCTGAGACAGAAAAATGCCTTCAAGAACTGACTTCAAAACAGCAACACAGAACACAGATGCCAACAGCTTTCCATAAGATCTGTATGGCTGGCAACCAGAATGAGTGAAGCTTGGAGTCACAAGCCAAATACTTTGAACACCTAGAAACCAGTATCTTGTTCTGTTCTGTGCTACACATGAAAACCTCATGCAAGCACAGTCCCACTCACCCACTGTGTGTCATTGGTAGCTACAGATGATCATCTGGGACCAAATTAACTACTTCTCTGTAAACCAGGCAGCCCCCACACTTGGCCATTTTGGTATATATTACAGTCCATTATTGATGTATGCACCTGCCTATTTCAGTCCTATGCAATTTCCTTCCTGATCTCT